GCGATACTTAATGGATATGGTTTATCAAAATTCATTACTGAGCATATATGCGCCGAATGGTCTCGAAAAATTGGGTTTAAACTTGATATTCATCGTGTTGGTCAAGTTTGTGGAGATTCAGTTACGGGAGTTTGGAACACTAAAGAACACATTTCACTTATGATAAAAGGAGCACAAGTTATGAAAATTATGCCGGATTCGTACACTTTGAATGTTGATTGGATACCAGTTGATATGGCTTCTCAAAGCATCGTTGATATTTCTTTGAATGCACCTTTTGACGACGAGATTGATTATGTCCGAGTTAATCATATACTTAATCCAAAGAGAATTACATGGAATGAATTCTTAAAATTCTTAAATAAAAGTGGAATAGATTTCAAAATTGTTTCGAATAAAGAATGGTTAAATACATTATTAAAAACACCCGAATATCAAAATGTGGATAAAAACCCAGTAACAGCATTATCGGGATTTTTTGAAAAAACTATAAGCGAATCATCAAATAGAAGTGAAGAACCATTATTTGAAACCCATAAATCAGTAGATCGTAGTTTGGCACTTTCCAATTGTCAAAAAATTGATGTAATATTAATCAAATTATATATTAATCATTGGAAAAGAATATCATTCTTAGATTAGTTAACTTATATATTAATCATTAGAAAAAGATATTTTATATATTCACGCTCAAATTTTATCTTATTTTTTATTTCTCTTAAAATATCACAATAAATTTCTATATAATGTGTGTTAAAACTTGTAGAATGGTATAGTATTTAATTAATGTAAAGCTATGATGTTTCAATGTTTTGAATTGCGCACGTTTTTATCAAGCATGTAACTTATAGGCTCAAGTATATATAATCGATCATATGTGGGGTTCTCCGCGGGTGGAGGTTGCAGTTCAGTTAAGTCAACCCGGGTAAGGAGCAGGGACACGCAAAATTTTGGAAAAAAAAATAAATCTTTTCGGGTTTACTAATTCCCCCCACACTTCACTATCGGAGCACCATAAAATTGATTAATAACATAGACATTCTGAAATGTGAATAATTAGTAGAACCAATCAGGAAAATTATTAGTAAACTCAATATTTTCAAATTTTATTGGTTAGAATAGAACATTAGAACATTAAAAATTCATGTGATTTTATATCAGGACTATGGTTGGGTACAATACATGTAATTTTACGTAAGTTTCAGTAACATCAAATAGTACAATAATGCAGGCCAAACTTTTGTAAAGCCGGTATTTTATATAAAACAATAAAATTACGTGAAATTTAACATACCGTCAGTTTAAATAACTTACGTAAATTATTCAACCCTGACTGAAATTTACTTATATTGTAAGACTGTAACTTTCGTAACACAGCCCTAACACAGCCCTAACTGTGGTACTCCGATAGTGAAGTAGTGGGCTTTGGACAATAGAATATCGTCTTCAAAACTTGGTTTTAAGCCAAAACACTTGTAAGCAGATTCTTTTACGTCACAAATTTATCCAATTTTAGAGATAGTCTAAAGCCAGATAGTTTTTAAATTGATTCTAATATATTTGTAAAATAAAAATTACGTGGCAAATATAAAATATTACGAGGCTTTAGACGACCTCCAATTTTAATATCTACAACAAACAATGGCTCAAACAGAAGCTACGCCTCGGACAATTATATAAAATTGTCACTACCCTTAAAATTTTATATATAAAGATTCTTACAACCTGCAATCAAAACAAAAATGGTTCACAAATACCAAAGTTTATTAGAAGCTTATCAACATCAAGTATCAACTAGACCAAAAGATAAAGTTCTTTTGATCCCCAACGGTACAAAATATGAAGCAATTAGTCTTCAAGATTTGGATATTATTATCAATAAATACGTAAATTATTGGAATAAACATTTGATGAATGAAAATCTGAATAAAAATAGCGTGATTGGCTATTTGGCACAAAGTAATCCTGAATACTTGTTTAACTTTATGGCCTTATGGAAATTAGGCTTTCAAATCTTATTCCTTAGTCCTCGAAATTCCGAATCTGCTTTGATTAATTTACTTCAAGAAACTAAATCGCGTATACTTATTTACGATCCTCAACTTTCAAAAATTTCACTGAATGTGCAAAATGAAATCAATTCTCAACGTCCACAATTGCTCAACATTTTTCAACATCCTAATAATTTAAAAAATGATGCAATTGACTATTTCGCCCCTGATCCAAAATTAGATGAAAATCCTTATGAAAAAATTATTGCTATTTTTCATAGTTCCGGTTCAACCTCATTTCCTAAATTAGTTCCTCTCTCCAATCGTTATTTATTAAATGCAGTCAAATCAAATCATACTCATGAGATAGTTTTATCAATCGCTCCATTATTTCATATTTATGGATTCATTCGTGCATTAAAATGTATTTTAAGTCCTGGTTCGATATACGCATTTCCAATTGTTGCAGGTTCAATCCCTTTAGCTAATGAAATTTTATATAGTTTAAAACAATCTAATGCTAGAATTCTACATACTTTACCTGCTACTCTTGAACAAATTTATAAATATTATCCAGAGGAAATTAAAACATTATTAAATTTAAAATCCATATTTTATTCTGGTGCTGCATTGTTTCCTCAAGTAGGCGAACAACTTGTTCAGTCTGGCGTCAAACTTCGAAATTCTTATGGTGCCACCGAAATAGGTAATCTTATGTTGACTCCTGAAAATTTATCACCTGATATTCCATGGAATGCAATGGAATTAATAGTTCCTGAAAGTAATATAGAATGGATAGAAAGAAATGATATCCTTGATGGTGCAAAAGAATTAGTTATAAAAAAAAGTTCTTCAATTCTCGCAAATATTGAAGGAAATACTGATAATGGTGATTATAGAGTAGGTGACCTTTTTATTGAAGCTAAAAAAGGTTCCGGTTTATATCTTTTACTTGGTCGAGTTGATGATACACTTATT